ACCAAAACCATAAACATTAAATTAACTTGGACTATAGCATCAATTTAAGAAACATAATAAGCTACAAATTAATTTATAACTTTGAGTTCTAATTCTATTAAATCAACTGGGTATTTATTATATCCATTATAAAAAAAAAATATAAATTTTACTGTAAATCTATATTTTAGTCAACTCTATCATATGCACTTGACTCTAAGAAATAATATCATTATGAAGGTGTTCGGAGAAGTGGCTCCAAAGGCCCCTTTGTCTTTACCCGAAGTACTTAAACTACCATTAGTTTTAATTGATATAATTGAAGAAAGCTTTCAAAATGGTCCTCCCCTTCCCCAACTCCTTTGCATAACCTCAAATTTATAATTCCTAACTAGTTTCGGATGTTTCTGCATTCCCATCTTGCCACCAGATACATTTTTTAAGGAATCCCAAGCGCCGAAACGCGGACCGCAGGAGGCCCAAAAGGTTGGCGAGGGACGGCGAGAGAGCTTCCTCACTTCATTGCTGCATGAATAATATTCGTAATTTGTCAAAAGGTTGGCCAAATCCCAAAATACAAAAACAGCAGCGGCCCAAACAGAAGATGGAGAAAAAATGGAATCCGAAAACAGAGCTGCGATTGAGCCACAAGGCCCCGGATGCCTCTGCCATGTCCAAAACTGACCCATCTCCGAGTGCCGAGGCCCCCAAGGACCTTTGGCGAGCTGTTGCCATTACTTTGCGCTCCTCAGCTGGCCGCAAAACCCAGGGGCGGGGGCGTGGGCGTGTAGAGAGGGGGTGGCTTTGCCGAAATAAAAGCGAAATTTCCTCTTCGCATTTGCTGCGCTTTATTAAACTTTTCCACCCAACGCCACAGAGTGTTTGTGGGTTGGAAATCCCCAAAGTTCCTGTGTCATTTTTTGTGCTTCACGTTGCTCAAATTTTTGACAGACCCTGTCAGAGGGGTGCGTTTTTCTATACGTATATATGCTTGGGTATATATTTAGAAAAAATCTTCACGCATTTGGCAAATTATCTTTTGATCCGCCCGCTTAAATTGCCAGAGGCGAAAAAAATACGAAAAAAAGTTATGGTAGAGCGAAACGAACTAATAAATACCTTGTACCATGTACACCTTTAAAGAAATGTTGTGCCTTTTTAAGATCAGCTTCCAAATACTCTTTATAACAACTTTAATGAGTGATATTGTTTTAGTAAACCAAAGTTACATCCCAAAAATCTTTTGTTAATATTCAACACATTTTCAAAGCACAAAACACCCTTAGAGCTCCACAAGTACCTAGAGGGTATGAAAATCCTGCGGAATGGCAGAGGAAAAGACGTTAACACAATTTCACTTTGGGTGGACACATCTAAGCCGGGCCAATCGTCCGCCTAAGTAGTTGTCCTCCGCCCACCGCCCCCTGTCGCTCTGGTGCCATCGAAAAGTAGTTTGCGCGCAAATCCTCAAGTTAAGCAAAACTCTCCAGGACATTAAGTGCAGCGCCAACAGACAACAAAGTCCAAGGATGGCAAAGTTTCCGCCTCGTCTTGCTCTCCCTAGAACGCTGGCAACTGCCAAACGGATGATGGCCGGGATCAACGTTTTACCAAAGCCGGGGCAAAAGTTTTTCCAGCAGACAACGTGCAACTTTTTGGCCAGCGAGAAGTTCTTTTCATTGTCTTGAACCCCACTGACAGCTTCCGAGGGAGCGGAGTGGAAACTGTCGCTTATAATGCGCACAATGAAGTGCACTTTTCCCACTCGCCCTGCCGGCTGCCCAGAATTGAAAAGTGCTCAGCTTTGGCTCCGCTGGCATAAATATTTCCATTTCGTGTAAGCGAGAGCTTTCCCAGGCAATCTGAGTGAATCACAATGAATCTGACAGGGACAATAAAAAATGCATTTCTAGGACGGCGAAAAACCGCACTTTAGGTGAGCAATAAAGGGCTTTTCTAACATAAAATGGGGTAAATATAGAATTATTTCTGTTACGTGTTTCCAAAATTTAAATACAAACAACACTACTTTAATTTATTTATCTATAAATACAAATTACCAACAATAGGACTCTTCAAGTAGTATTTTACTCTTTGTATAGCCCCCAACATTTTGCCACATTTATTCTCTGTGTGTAAATGAGTACACAGGAGGCCAGGCAAACACTTGTTGCAAGAATTTGTTGACTGTCGCTTAAATTTATGACCCCAAAACTCGAGGACCGCAAAAAAGCCAAAAGCATCCAAAGGATTCGGCTTGGACTGCAAGTTTTCCCCCTCAACTCACCAGCAAATTATCAAATGGCAGCGAGATAAAAGGGGGTAAGTGGAGGAAATCGAGTTGAACTTGGTAAATATCAAAACAACATTAAGGCAGGAGAGCCGACTGAGGGGCCAAAGGGCCCCCAAGCCCCATTGTGCCGACTGCCATCCATGAGTTACAACTTAATTGAAACGGAGTTTCGTTTTCCCTACACTCTTTTTTTACTACGAAAAAGACCCCGAGAAGAGAGTCTTCTCGCCTTGCCCAGTCACGATCGGAACCTTTGTGGCACCTTTATCTTTTTATTTGTTCGCCTTAGTTGTTGCCTAATGCACGCTTGAAAAATGTCCAGGCGTTAAGTAGTTGCAATCGTGTTACAGTGGATGGGTTGAGATATAGACGGTATTCTATGTAAACTACGTAGTACTACAAATTGAGGAAGCTTATGGATGTTGGATATAGTATTCAAAATAGTTAAAAGTCTGTTTTTTAGTAAACTACTTTAGTTTTTATATAAAACGAGAGCAGTTTTGGTACAAATTATATCTACAAATGAAACTTAAACCAAGAGAACCAGTTTATCCTCAAACCAAACCTGATCTGGCCAATCCCTCAATGTTCTTGCCTCAGGCCTTTGGGCAATTTTCGATTATTTGTCCCACTGTCGCCGACTATTTATGGGCTATGCAAAATGCAGCCAACTCGGGCGAAGAGGAGCTGTGCTGGCAAGGCAAAAACCTAAGCAGAAATAAACTCGTATGCATTTAATCATCGTAACTTAAGCTCGGGGATCATGTTGTGGCACAGTGAGAATGCCGCAGTTGCCGCCGCGGGAGATGCGGACCGAGCTTTGGGCCAACTCCAGCTTTAATTCCCCGGCTCCTCCCCTCGTCCTCTCTGACCGCTTCATTTTTAATAAAGAAAAGAAGCAAGAAATCCAACACAGAAAAAAAGTATATAATAAGAGAAAAGAGGGGAAAACTTCATGTCACCGTGGCCTGGTGGTGCCGTCCTTCTCTTTATTTTTTAAGGCGCGTTCTTTTATTTTTTGCACCGCCGCAGAGGCGTAGAGGGAGGGGATTAAGACGACGGAGTGGCCACTATGAATGGAGCCTCGGCGTGTTCTGGAGATTAATAAATTGATGGCATCCATTGCACATAACGTGTAACTAATGGCGCCCATCAATTCTGCTTTACATCTCAATCTGGCTTTGGCGAAAAAATACAGCCGGCAACAAACAAAAAACCACAGCAACATCCACGGATGGGGATGCGGATGGGGGAGCTCCTTGGATTTGGTAATGACCCAGGAGCAGGTCAGCTGGCGGCGAGGCAGAAAAAGGACCAACCACTTGAGGCCTGCTCTCACTTTCTCCGGGGAAAGTGAAATGCCAACGGAATTCTATATTTGGAAAGGACTCGCCTCCTTGTCCGTTCACCAATTTCCCTCGAAAGGCGGGCAAAAACACTGTCCCCACTTATGCAACATCCTTTGAATCCAGAGCCGAACCACATGCAGTCTGTGTGCTCTACTTTCCAGCTCTCATTAGTTACGCCTAGGGTTTTTGGCAAACCTTTTTCTGGCAGGACCTGGGACTATTGTCGATTTGCATTAGCTGGCAGGACCGCCTTCTGTGCTCGGATCCGCTAGACAAGCGTAACCCAGGGGCACCTCTTCCGCCACCTCTTTCATCTGCCTGCATTCATCGATTTTGGGATTTCGGAAATTCGCAAATTTGAACGAATGTCAGGTATCGGACGGTCCTCTGCAGATGGATTACGGTTAATGTCGAGCAATTGGCCAGGGCAATAAAGTGAAATTGCCCTGACGTGTCAAGGTCGAAGTCGATTCGTTTTGAACCGAAACCAAACGCAAAGAATATTTGCAGAATAAGTTTGCTTTAGCATTTGAAAAATAAGGCAAATATATGTAACGAGCATATAAAGTAATTTGTAATATATAGTTCACAAAATAGCTGCATTTGTAATTACACAATGTTAACGAAAATGGTTTAATTTTGCCATTAGTTCTACATTGTATATTTAATGGAAATTATTAAATAATATTTCATGTTTTGAATATTGTAAAATTGCAGGCAACATTTTTTCAGGCAGTTTTCGGGATTTAAGACGGCTTAAGCAAGAAGAATTTCAGATTTTTAACATTCACTGCTTGATCACTTATCTACATTTTACATTTACTCTACATACATTTACTGATATATGCACTGCTTTCAAAAGGGAAAAGCGCAAGAACTGCTTTAAAACCATTATTTCAATCAAAAAAATCAAAAATTAAAATAGAAATATAAAAGTGATTAAGAAAAGTAAAGTGAATATAGACATATTGTATAACTCATAGTATCAACAATTTTGAAAACTTTTTTATGACATCTTAATGTTAAAGAATCTTTCTTTTTGTCAAAAATAAAATCGAAATTCCATGAAAAGAATTTTACAGGAAAAATGATTTTATACTGGTCCCGAAAACGATTTGTTACCTAAAAATGTCAGACCTTAAAAACATGAAAATTAGTTAATATACACTTTCGACTGCTTTTCGTTCGAAATACCAGGTTCGCTGTAAAGGTTCTAATGGTTTAACTTTAAATAATTAGCTCTAGCCGTTGTATGCACAGTTACGTTTCTAAGGGGAACTACGATCAATTCTATACGGGGGACTAACTACTGCAACCCACTACGATAAGAAGAAGAAAAATTCCACTTAATACGTTTCGTGGAATTGTCGATCACTTTCCTTGACACTTACCAAACTGACTTCGCATCCAGGGATACAGTGGAGACGGCATCCCCGAGGACTGCGAGTTCGGGTTTTGGGAAGGGGGCGTGTGCTGGCCAGGATGTCCTTGGTGCATCTGGGGAGGACCCTGGCCCTGGTGCATCATTGCTTGGGGTGGTGCACCCACCGGCGGAACCCCCGCCTGTTGCTGGTACATGCCCATGTTGTGATGGTTCTGATGGACCTGCGATGGGGGATTATTCAGATTAGTGATACAGTATCGCTGGAGATGGGGCTTCGAACCGTCCACCACTGGGAGGGGGTTAGTCCTAGCGGATGTGGAAAAAAGGGCAAGCGGAATGTGAACTTGATCTTACCTCTGTCACGTCGGGAACTCCCACGTCCGTATAGCCCAACTGCGGGTGCGAGCAGCGAAAGCGGAAGTGAAAAGATGGGAAAAGCGTTAAGTGTTTGCGAGATATGCAGGTGGGGTAGGGAATTCTACACACGGTTATCGATTGGGGAAGGTGTTTATATAAATACTTAATAACTTATAATTAACCTTAGTTCCAAAAACTTATTTACCAACTATGTAGTATAGCAATTTGTTTACTTAAAAATACACGATCTTCACATTTTATCATATTTGATGTTAATGCATAATGAAAAGCCATATTAAGTTATATATAATTTCAAAAAATATACCTATCAATTTAACTTTGAAACAGAAATAGTTTATTTTTGAGTTGATAGCTAACTTAACTTTAATATAAGAAAAGTGCAAGTAATATTTTAACGAGAAGGTACTAGTAAGCATTGTAGTTAAATAATGACAAACAAAAAGCAGGTACTATGAAAAAAGCAAACATATTTACTTTAAAATGTGTCTTATGAATGGAGGATATTAGTATGTTTTTCCACAAATAAATTAAATAATTCCTTAAATTACCATAACTGTTTTGGTGACAGTGTTTCTAAACCCTACTACAATCCATCTAAACTACTCTAGAGCTATTGAAAATTTAGGATCCCTTCTCACCTGCGCCTGCGGATGGCCCATGTGGTGGGGCAGCGTCATCTGGGCGTTCATGTGGTGGCCGGACATCTGATCCACCAGCGGAGGCGACCCGCCCTCGGGGACCATGCCCAGTCCGCCGACGGCCGCCTGCAACTTGCAGCTGGCGTAGACGACGGGCTGCTGCTGCTGCTGCTGCGGATGTGTCACCTGTTGCGTCACCTGCGGCAGTTGCTGCTGCAGTTGCTGCTGCGGGGCCTGCTGCGCCTGCTGCTGCTGCTGGTTCTGCGTGGGCTGTTGCTGCTGCTGCTGCTGTTGCTGTGGCACCCCCAGCTGGCCGTTGGTCTGCGCCTGGGGCATGACCCCGCCCACCTGGCTGGAGGGGCTGTCCGGGCGGGAGTAGACCTGGTGCTGCTGCTGCTGCTGCTGGTCCATCCCCTGGCCGTTGTAGTAGGGCATGCGGTCGTAGGGCGGGAAGCGCGGGTAGGGCATGTTGCCCTGGTGATTCGCGTTCTGGCTGTAGTGGTGCATCTGCTGGGCGTCCAGGTCGGTGACCCCGTTGCCCGGATAGTGCCCATGGTGCATGTCCGCCCCCATGTACGTGTTGGTGAAGTACGAGGTCATGCTCTCGCAGTTGTTTGTACTCATCGTCATCGTGGCAGCCTCCTCAGCGTCAGCTGATCCCGCCGCGAGTCCTGATCCTGGAGTGAACGTGATCGTGACTGTTACTCTGCTTAGTGGCTAGTGACTGTGGTGCTCCTGCCTCCCTGTCCGTGCTTTTAGCTACTTTCCTTATATACAAAGTAAACTGGAATACAGAAAACCGAGTGTTTAGTACTTGGAGAATCGAAGAACATAAAAATCATTCAAACATATTTCCAGCTTTAAACTGTAATTGCATAGCAGGGCTTATAAGATATTTTTGAATGGGTACATATAAATTGCTCCCCCTATTATACCGCATACTCACCTAAATAACCTTTGAACACTTAAGTACAATGTACAGTTGCGTAGCCTAATCTTAGTTAGTGTGTAGTTGTTGTGTGAGGTATAAAATGATTTCCGCTTTGCTGTTCCTCTGTTTGCTGTCTTGGCCAAAAATGACGAAATTAACCTGCTCCTCGTCTCTCGATTTGGTAGAAAATCTCCTCTCCTTGGTGTTCTTTGATCCTTAAGTAGCCTTATCCTCTAGTTGGTATTCCTCAATTTTGATTTTGAAACTCTGTAAGTAATTGAAGACGAAATTTCCGTTATTATTGGTGTTCTCTTGTCAAAGCTTTGGTTTAAAGTGAAGTTTGAAGTGATATTTGGGCTGTATGATTTCATATGTTCCCTAAGTTGGGAGCAACATGTGGAGCCCACTGACAAATTGTTTATTGTATGCATGGCTGCCGGGTTTTTGGTGAGGGAGGAGGACTCAAGTTTTCTTTCAAGATTACCGATACTCTTTTGGGGTATTGATTGCCAGTGTGAGAACCGGATTTTATTTGTATAACATTTTTAATAATATATGTAAGAGAGTAAAATTGTAATAGTCATACATAAGTAAGAACATTTGACGCTCATAGTTTAATACCCATGGCAACCCTACCATCATCCTTGTGTCTGAAATTCCACAAAGTCAAGCCAAGATGACATTCTGTAATTTCCCCCCGGGAACTTTTGTAATCCTCAAACCTAGAATCTTCCACTGGCATGCAATTGCCCCCGTTTTCCCCGCGCTTGACAAGCTGACAACATTCATTGAATTTATGAATATGAAATCAATTGTGTTATCCCCTTTTGACCTGACATCCTTCCGGTCAAAGTGATTTAATTTCCTGGCTCATTATCACGAGTCTCTGACCTCATAAATCACAAAATTTCCCACTCCAGCTCCATTCGGATAATCCAGACAAAAAGAGGGAGACGGAGACACACGTTGCCTGCCAATCCATGCATATTCACATGTCTGTCCCGCTCTGGCCGGGTCTGTGACTGCTTTTGTGGTGATGGTGACAACCCTGCCGAAAATCCCCAACTAACTAACGGTAACTTGTTGTCGGAAATGAAACTTCCCCGACTTGCACAAAGCATGAAGCCCCAAACAAAAAAAGGGCATCGTAAAATAAACGAAATGGTAAACTTTAAAATATTTCAGTCTTGTCTCTCGCTCTCTTTGCATTGTGTTCGTCCTGCTCTTCCCCACCCCCCGCCCATCATCCGTTTTCCTGGCATTTTCCCTTTTGTTAACGAAATAATTTTCTTGCCTCCGACGCTGCCAAAGCCAAAAGCTTCCCTTTCAATTACACATTTCCCAATGATGGCGATTGAGCGGGCCACTAGGCATGGGCAAAATGGCGCGAAAGGACAATGGCAGCGGCGGAAGGAAGCGTGTGTTCGTGTTTGTGTGCTGAGTGCTCCGCTTGTGGGTTGTGTGTGTGCGTGTGCCTATGTGTGTGAAGGGCCAAACGGATGCTGGCAAATCGCTGGACTGTGGCCCGATCCCTTCCTATATCAGACATGTGGGTGGGCGGAAGGCAGAGGGGCCGAGGCCGGAGACAGGGCCTTGGGGTAGGCAAAGAAACCCACTCAAGCACAAGCGAGATGATAATAATGTCTGATGTGTGTTTTGTCTGTTCTTCCTGTTTTTGCCGCTGCTGCGGTTGCGGGGAGTGGGGCAAGTGCCTGCTCACTGTATGATTTATGTTCGTCTGATGTGATTTATTCAAGCGAAGAAATTGCTCAAATTTGATTTGCCATAACTGATTTGGGCACTCTTTAATTGCTAACGTATTTGAAAATAAGGAAGCGATATCTATTGATTTTTATATAAGTGTTTTATGTTCTTTTACAAAGTCAGATAAATATTATATCAAATAAATATCAAATTATTTGTTTAAGCTCTATCCTTCTTCAAGTAGTTTAGAAACTAAACGCAACGCCACCTAGCATTACTTTTGGGAACTACCACCACGGCACGTCAAATGTCAAATGCTCGTCAAATTTGACAGCCCGAAAGTATGCCACGAAAATTAGAGGACAGGCGGCGCCATCTAGCAGAACGTGAGGGAACTGTCTGTTATGAAATTGAAGTTGACAGTTTGGACAGCCGTGTTGCCTGCTTTTGGGGTGAACAAAAAACTCTTTTCGACTACACAAAAGAAAAATAAGTTATTCAAATGGACATCAGTTTTTCTATTAAATTAATACATTCTTAGTTTTTGAAAAATCATTAAAGTGAAAAGGTATGTTTGAAGTCTAAATTTTTTATAAGAATAAAAATAAACTAAAATTGAAAGTGTCGAGAATAATGCTGATTTAGCATCACTGGTTGAAAGTGGTGTTCATCGAAAATAAACTTTTTAGTGATTTGTTACTTATATCGATTTTTTTACACTATGATTTAAAAATAATTTTCTGTTCCAACTGACTCTTTTGCACGGTTTTATTTCATTTAATGAGCTTCAATATTAAACATTCAATCATTCGTATTTATGATTGCTGTCAACTCTCTTTTCTCGTTAATATTTATTTCTTATTCTTTGGAGATTTGAATCTTGAAATTGTTTTGAGGATACAAATTAGAATTAAAATTCTCTACAATCGAAATAATCGTGTTTTGACAAGATTCCATCAAAGAATTACTGAAGGTCATCTTATGCCTAACACAATCTTTTATTTTCCTCGTAATCCTACATAGATAGACAGAGTGGTTTTAGTAGGCATTTAAAAACCAAAAATAAAACTAACTGGTTTGTCGAGGATTGAGCTCCTCTTATATAGTTTCAAAACTAATTCGTGTTCTGGCTTATAAATGTTCTAAAGAATTTTCGATTTTTGTCAGATTCAACGAGATCTTTATGCATCTGCCCCACTGTGCAATGGCAATTGCCCGTGCGTTCAGGCTCAGCCAAGACAAGAACCATAGTTTTAAGCCCAGCCCACTTAGCCACGCACACATTCGCACTGGACACACTCCCACACACACACCCGTGCACAGAGTGCGCATGCCATATGGGCAGTCCCGTTACCAGTTTTAAGCCACACACCTCGACAGCTGATTGCACAACCCGAATCGGGCGAAAAGTGGATCCGTCGGCGAAACAGAGGTCCACTGGACGGGTTATCCATCACTCACTCAACAGATTTTACCCGGAATTCGGTTAATGAGCACATCAACACTTTCCCGTCCCGCTCATCCACTCCCACGCATGCGCCGTCCCTGTCTAACCAACGTGTCCGGAACCGAAATGAAATGAAATGAATGACTTCTTTCTTCGGCCATCAACTTCAGCTTCAGCCATTTTGATTTACGACTGCCAGCGAAACTGTGAGTGTTATGCCGTCGCATAGCGCTACTTATGGGGATGGAACTATGCATTAGAAATCTAGAAAAGTTCCCCAAAATTGTTTGTTTTACAAAAATATCTAAAGTGCTATTACCACAGAAAATATAAAAATCGTAATATCTTGATTTTGAAAAAAATTCTTACTAATTTTTCAAAAGTGGGAGAGTTTTTTAAAGCAAATAAAGAATGATATCATTATAAAATTAGTATAAGAATGTTATTTAAAAACTAGTAACCTATTTCGTTTCTATCATTTGAAGATCTTTAAAATCAACCCTGTTTGAAATGAACTAAAATGGCAACTCTGACATCTTCTTTCTTTTTTCGCTACCAACTTTTTGTTCATTTTCAGCCGTTAGACGAAGGCGTCGCCCGTCAACTGTCAGTTCATGTTCTCGTTCTGGTTGTTCCTGTTGCCGCCGCTGCCTGAGTTGCCATTGTTGTCGGCATCATTTGAAGAAGGGCGGCCCAGAGGAAGCGGCAACGGTAAACTTATAGCCAGTTAGTGCGTCTCATCTTCAGGTGGCAAAGGGGGGTGAGCTGGAGTTGGGTGGATGTCTCTCAATTAAACCCAGTGGAGGGGGGCGTTCTGCTCGGCTGCTCCGACCTCTGCCGGCGGCTTAAATTGCTGTTTTGCATTTTATTTAAATAATAATTGGCCTGACTAAGTTTTCGCAGCGGTGGAAATGTGAAGACTGAGAGGAAGGTAGAACGCATAGCATTGGCCTTAAAAAACTGTAAGAAAATATTCACTCCAATTAGGGGAAATCACACAAGAAACTCCGAGAACGCGGAAATTTAATTAGTAGAGCTATTCAAAAGCGAGGGTATTTATTCTACCCTCGCTTTTGAATAGCTCTACTAATTAAATTAATAATAATAAAGACATTATCAAGAGGAACATACACTAGCATAGGAAAACATACATGGTATTTGTATTTCAAAAACTTTTTTACCTATCTACAATATATAAGCACCTGATTTTACAAATGACCTTGAAATCAAGTATTCTCAATCCGTCACTCGCTAAGAATATATTTCAATATAATCACCTCAGGAACAAGAACCCGAAGCACGTGCTCTTTGAGGGGTCCCAAAAATGCCAGAAGAGTTTATTGTGCCATCAACTAAAAGAGCAAATAAAATTTTATTACCACTATAAATTTCAGGCACTTGAAGCGGCGCACCAAAAACAGAGGCAAACGCAAAACAACAAAAATAAAGCCTTAAAAAACCCTACAAAAATGTGTCAGAGGCGTAAGCTGAGAATTGTTAAGGGGGTGTATTTAAGAAAAATAGTTGAGGGAACACTAAACAGTTTCAATTTATTTTCCAATATACTCCATTTTCCCCGCTATTCGATTTAGAAAAGAGATAAATAATTTGTTTTGAAATTGCTTTAGCCCCCCATTCGACGCCTCTGTCTTGCAGACCATGGTCAGGTTCTGGCTCAGCCTGCAGGAGGATAAACCCACGCGATTTGGCGACGTCGGCCAGACAGAGACGCCAAGACCAAGAAGTCGAGGAAGGAAAGGAAGCCGGCGATACGGAAAAAGGGGGAATGGGAATGGAACGGGGGCCTAAAGAGCGGCGGCAATCGATGAGGGGGTTTCAGGGACTGAGGCCTGCATTTTTCTCACATTTATCTTGCTGCGAGTGCTGCGTTTTATTGCGATTGGAAATTGAGCTTGTCAACGCGGCAGCGGGCAACGCTTGGCTAGTCATCGAAACCAGAGGCGGGGAAGGGGTAGGGTTTCCGCGGGAGGGGTACGAGGTATAGGGACAGCTGGTCGAGTTTTGGGTTCCCGGTTCCCTGAGATAATAATAAAAATGTCAGGCTTTGACGATTCTCCTCGTCGTGGCCGTCGGTTCATAAATAAAGTGATGCACT